TCTTATGCCCATTTTCACCATCAATCAGGAATTTAGTTTTCATAGGGGTAACTTAAAAATTAGGGATTGATGGTGAAAACGGGCCTTATTTACTTATTTCGAGATTTTTTCCAGAAAAAAAAATGCTCATAGTTTGTATTGTTCAACTGAAATGTGATTTTGATTGAATAAGTTGATTTATTTATTAGATTACTTATTTACGTAATAACAAGGGGCCCTTATCAAGGGAATTAGGTCGCATAATGCCCTTATGAGGGTCAATAGCGAACATAATTTATGTGCAATCAGCGCTGTAAATTATGAAAACTTGATTGATGATGTAGGTCATCAATCAATTATCAGCTATTACAGACGTATGCAACGTGACTCCCCTTTACAACCATTTCGTTCGCTCAGCAGAAGCTCGGACAAGGCGGCGGGGTCGTGCTGGGACGTGTCCGGCTCAGGCGCGCCGTCGTACGAGCGGTCCGTGTCCGAGTCGGACAAGGCGTCCGCGCCCTTGGACAAGGCGCGCGCGCTGTCGCTTGACTTGGACAAGCAGCCTGCGGCGCTTACAGGTAACTGACTGAATTATGAAGTTGTGGAGGATTTTGAAGTTTATGTGGTAAGTAGAAGGTTCAAAATCAATCAAGGATATTTGTGGTAGGTTGATGTAGTAAACAGGTCGGATGAAATGATACAAAACTCAGACATTCGACCTGCTCGAATGTGTTTAGGACACAGAGAAATTATGAACTTTCGTACTTGGTTATCAAATTTCAGTTACGGACTAAAGGCTTTCTCCTTTTTTTTATTCTGCTTTTTTGTCAATTGTAATCTCAAAAAGTATTTCACTGATTTGTTTGTTTTTTTTTTTGTTTAGGAAGCGGACGACGTAATAGAGACTTCACGCCAAAGATCCTCATCATTTGGTTGGACGACTTTGAAGACCATCTCAATCTACCAATAGGTACGTTCGCACATATTACAACTTTTCTTTAGCATAATTGGTTCCGCAGTTCAACCATAAAAAATTAAAAAAAAACTAATTTTTCGCATTTACAAATCTTCCTCATTTCCCTTTCGATCTTCCACAGATGACCTTCTCCGTTACTGTGAGACGGGTCTCCCGTGGCGGCGCCACGAGGCCTACGTGATGTGTGTGTCGCCTCGCCGCAGCGGACTACTTCTCGTCCGTGTACCGCCGCCTGCTTCTTCCGCTGGAGTATTAGCAGATGGCGCCCAGTTGGCGCCTAGTTTACTGCCCGACTGTCTTAGGAGAGCGGCGTTGGACAGGGCGAGACGAGCTAGGCTGCAGACTGATCTGTAAGTAATAATATAATACAGTGTGAGTCACGTTAAAGTGTACATATGAAAATAGATGAAACTAGACCTATTTTTATCGACAAATAAAGAGGTCAAAAATTTTTTGAATTTTTTTTTTAATTTTTTATAGACATTTTTTTCTACCAATTACTTATTGTAAAGAAAACGTAATAACTTTTAAACTAAGCGGTATATCCTGATAAAATAAAAACAGTAATAATGCTAAATAACAGGCGAAACTAAAAAAATACATAAAATACACAAAAAATTTGGTTTGCAGCCAAAGGCGAATATGACCAGCCTCAGAGCCGTCAGAAGAACCCGGCTGCAGACCGATGTAGACTGTAGAGTTGATTGATTAGGCTTGACAACGGCACCCTCAACTGGGAATACTGGCAATTGGCGCCCAGTTGGCGCCGAGATTACTGTCTGACCTATTGATCAGGCTGAAGATGGAAGCAAACTTCATCTGGAATCCTCAACCTTCTCCCCAAATCCCACTGAGAATCGTACCCGAGACTGTGGTCTTATTATGAGGCTTATTTTATTTTACCTCTTTCAGATATCAACCGCCCCACGTGAAACGGCGCCACCTCATCCAAGAAT